AATAATAATAATAATAATAATAATATTATTTTATTTACTACACGTAGATGTACAATGTATACAAGCCTAGCTGACACACCCACACTAGTCGGCTAACACCCAGGTACCCATTTACTGATGGGTAAACAAAGACAACAGGTGTAAAGAAACACACCTAATGTTTCTACCCTGGCTGGGAATTGAATATTTACTAAAAATCATATATGGCTAACCCAAGCCAGGTACTAAAAATAAGCCACGTTGACTTTTTTTGGGTTATCCTAGGTTCTCTACACACATGCTGCTGTGTGTGTGATAATCTATAGAGAGAAAATAACTTTTTTGTTTCATGTTTATGGTGGAGTACGAGTGTATATCACAGTTAGTCCTGTGCTACACTCCGTTTTCTCTAATATAAGCCACCAAGACAAGGATAGGAGAATGGCATTTGTATACCATATCCTCTTCATACCTCCGTCGAACTGCTCGGTATTATGCCAAGTATTATTTATTCTGGAGTATTTAACATGTTTTATGTTATTTATATTGTTTCTTATGTCATATTAGATCAATTGTGATAGGCAAATAAGCTGTAGTGTTGATATTAGCATAATATTAAAGCATATTCTCCTGCTTCATGAGACTGAGTTCATGGCAACCGACAGTGGCTTCAAAGCCACCTTATCTTTAATGGATAATGTACTGTGTATGTGCTTTACATAATGAGAAGCATTTCTTTTATTCATTGGAACCATGGCTAGGGCTAAAAGCAGGCAGGTTAAAACAACAAATGGAGAAAAAGAAATTGGAATGACTTATGCAGCAAGTAGTGCCACCAAACAGTACCAGCAGGTTGGTGTGGCGATCCTGGAAATTTGAAATTATGCTAGCCAAAATTAGTGCCGAATAACTGAGGGAACCGAATAACTGATTGCCGGATTTGTGATGGCAGACCTGTATGTATTTTTATCCCTTTAGGAAGCTTGTTATTGATGAGGCTTGATTCTGTTCAAAGGAAGACTGTTGTTCAAGCAGTATATACCAAGTAAGAATAAATGCTTTGGTATAAAGTTGTTTGTGCTTTGTGACTGCTACATTGGTCTTGTATTGGATATAATTGTGTACATTGGAAGTAATACATTGCAAGATACCAGGAAGTTACTGGGTTTCTCTGGTGATGTGGTTAAAGCAATGATGGAACCATATCTTGGTAAAGGGTATATATTATATTCTGATAACTGGTACACGAGCCCCTTACTCAGTGATTTCTTGTGAGTGAACCTGACAGACGTGTGTGGCACAGAGCATGCAAATCATAAACATATGCCCAGGTTCGACTCAAGCACTTGTAGAGGTGAGGTGCAAGCGTTTGCTGCCAATGACATCATGGCATTTCGGTGGCATGACAAATGAGATATCACACTGTTGTCATCAGTTCACCCTAACGAAATGGCAGACACTGGCAAGCAGCATAGAGCAATGAACCCATTCTAAAACCTGCAGCTGTCATGGACTACACCCTCAATATGCATTCAGTGGACAAATGTGACATGCAGATTGTGTTTGCAAGAGTTATAAGTGGTACACAAAACTCTTTTTCCATATTCTGGACATTCCCATGCTCAATGCTTATAATATGTATAAGATGAGAACCAGAAACAAACCACCATATGGCGAATTTTGTTTGTCTGTCATCGGACAAATAATAATGAAGTACCAAGGAACAACACCTGCAATAGAAAACTGCCCACGAAATTATCAACAACTACCTTCTCGTCTGAGGCCTGGTGATCACTTCCTAATGAAACTGCCTGCTACTGCTTTCAAGAAAAAGGCTCAGAAGAGGTGTTATGTCTGTGCACATACAAAAAAATGCCCACAACAACGCAGAGACACTCGTTTTATGTGTGAGGAGTGTAATACACCACTGTGCATGACTGTGTTTCAAAGACTTCCACAGGCTGCAGAACTTCTAAGAACATGTCCAGTGACTGTATATATGTATATATAATATAGAAAAATTGTAATAAACAACATTTTATTTTGTTCGTTTGTGTAAACATGTTGTGTAAACAACATAATGATAAGTGTTTGTGCAGTGATTGTGTAGTACAGAAAGAGTAAATATATACTAAATATTCCTCATATTGGTCTCTGTGACCTAAATGTAAGTAGAAGTAGCAAGATGTACCTGTTATCGTGTGATGTTGATGAGAGAAAGAAAAGCCACCAGCAATCCTACCATTGTGTAAAACAATTACAAGTTTCTGTTTACACTCATCTTGCAGGATGACAGTACCTCCCTGGGTAGCTGCTCTCTACAAACCTATATTTGAACTGTAATATTGGCATGCCTCTGGCAAGACACTGATAGAGTAAATGATGCTGAAACTGCTTCTTCTTTTGGGTCACCCTACCTTGATGGAAGATGGCCAGTGTGTTTTAACCCTTTGACTGTTTTGGTCATATATATACGTCTTACGAACCAGTGTTTCAGACGTATATATACTTGATAACTCTAGTGGGTTCAAATCAAGCAGGGCAAAGCTGGTAGGCTTTGCCCTAGTCAGTGTGCACCACATAAAAAAAATCCTGCAGCACGCAGTGTATAACGAGAAAAAAAGAAAACTAACCGGTTTTTTTAATTAAAACTCCAACTTTTAGGTGTATTTTCGTATAATATTTATCGTTGTATTCTCATTTTCATGGTCTCACGTGATAAAATGGAAGCCATATTGCAGAAACAGAGATGATTTTGATTGGTTTCACAATGAAAACGGCCTAGAAATTGAGCTCAAAGTAGCGGAAATGTTCGATTTTTACCAATGTTCAAGAGTAAGCAAATCACACCACACATCCAATACATGTTAACTGGGAAGTCTAATATTCTTTCACTAGTGCATTGATATTATTTATACCATTTTTACAATAATGCAGTAGTCTGCATAACAGTAAATTTTGCATTTTTTGTATGAAAAAATAAAAATAGCAAGCAATAGTAATATAAGAGGGGCCTAGAGATGTGACAAATGAACAGAGGATATGTTATTTTAGTGCCAAGAACGTCTATATTGATTATTCTGGACCCTATATTGAAATTGGCATCTTTTTTAATTTGCGTGAAATTGGCCAAATTGCCAATTTCTGACCACTTTATTGGGTAGTTCATACTTGTAAATGGGCGGTTTCTTGTACTCAATTGATAGAAAAAAGGAGTTCTAAAGAAATAGCTATGAGATTGGTCAACTGGAACAATGGAATTGGCCGAAAACAGGGCTCAAATTTGGCGAAATCGCCAATGCGTATTTGTCACCGAGACCGCTAACTTTGTGGGAGTGTAATTCTGCGAGTTCTCGACCAAATTTCGTACTTTTGGTGACATTACCATTGGGAAAAGATTCTCTATCATTTCATAAGATTTTTTTTTTTTTTTCAAAAATTTTGCGACATAGAATGACAGTTTCAGAAAGGGGCTTGCGACAGTTAAAGGGTTAAGGCACATGGAATATTAGGAGAAATTTTTCCTGGGTAGAGGCTGACAAATAGGCAGCAAAGAGTTTGCATAAATGGGGAGAAATCAGAATGGGGGCACATCACAAGCGGTGTTCTGCAGGGGTCATTGTTGGACTGGTTGTTGTTCACAATTTACATAAACGACGTAGATGAGGGAATAAATAGCGACATTAGCAAATTTGCTGATGACACCATAATAGGCCATCTAATTCATTCTAATGAGGACACTAGAGCACTCCAGGATGATTTGAATAGACTGATGCAATGGTCGGAGAAGTGGCAGATGCAGTTTAATATAGACAAATGCAAAGTTCTAAATGTTGGATGGAAAAATAACCATGCCATATATAAACTAAATAATGTAGATCTTAATACTACTGACTGTGAAAGGGAGTTAGGAATTCTGGTTAGCAGTAATCTAAAACTAAGACTACAGTGCACTAGTGTTCGCAATAAAGCTAACAGAGTCCTTGGCTTCTTATCTAGAAGTATAAATAATAGAAGTCCTCAGGTTGTTCTTCGACTGTTTATATTCTTGGTTAGGTCTCATTTAGATTATGCTGCGCAGTTTTGGTCACCGTATTACAGACTGGATATAAATGCAATGGAAAACGTACAGAGGAGGATGATAAAGTTGATCTCATGTATCAGAAATCTTCCCTATGAAGATAGACTGAGGGCCCTGAATCTGCACTCTCTCGAAAAGCATATAATTAGGGGGGATATAATCGAGGTGTATAACTGGAAAACAGGTATAAATAAAGGAGATGTTAAGAGCATGCTGAAAATTTCCAGCCAAGACAGGACTCGCAGCAATGGTTTCAAGTTGGAAAAATTCAGATTCAGGAAGGATATAGGAAAGCACTGGTTTGGTAATACAGTTGTGGATGAGTGAAACAAACTCCCAAGTACAGTTATAGTAGCTAAAACGTTGTGTAGTTTTAAAAATTGATTAGATAAATACATGAGTGGGTGTGGGTGGGTGTGAGTTGGACCTGACTAGCTTGTGCTACTAGGTCTGATGCTGTGCTCCTTCCTTAAGTAGAAGTGACCTGACTAGGTGGGTCATTGGGCTAATCAAAGGAAGAAGGGGGGGAGACATGGACCTGTAATGGTGAGTTACATTATGGTACATGTGAATGAGGCCACAACAATATATTTTAGCACTGATGGCAGCGAAGAGATAAAACATCTGCAGTCATGAATAAGATACAAGAAAATCAGGTAAATGTTACGTGCTAAAATGAATTAATTTCAAAGCAATAACATCAGTTGGCACATTCAGATCAGTACATCCTCTTAGCAGAAATATTTTATTGTTACTAACATAAATAACCTAAATCTAGAAAGCTGCATCAAACCACAAATCTAGAAATATCGCTGTAAACTGTATGTGAGAAAGCCACGTAGAATTTGAGAGATGGGTTGTCTGGCTACAGTACCCCTATTGAAGAAAGTGATCATAGGTATTGAATGATTTTGCAGTCACTCATTAATAGATGACTCACCTAGACCCTGCTGTTCAAATATGCTGGAATTGTAAATATATGTTGTTGAGACAGTGCCATTATCATTGTAGAGTTCACTAGACTCGCCACTGCCACTACTACAAGCATCCTGAAGAGAAATAATATGAAATTAGAATACAAGGATTATGCAGCACCTGGGAAATGGGAGGCAATAAGGTTGAATCTAAAGAAGGGTGAGGTAGATTAATTCCTTGAATGAAGAGTCCTTCACTGATTTCAAGGCACCCCTCTGAAATGTATACAATAGGGCCCCGCTTTACAGCGTTCCACTAGTACTGCAATTTCAAATTATGACCAAAATTTGCTATACAGTGAGCGGTCTTTCAAATATGGCACGCCCCACCCAGTTTGTTTACATTCATGAGCACATCTATTATGTCTGGAAACTTTCCAAAATTTCAATTGTTTTAAAGTTATTATGTATTTTGTACATACTCTGATAATTATACTTGTGAACCTGCACCTAAATATACTTACACACTGTGCTGGCATGCAGGAACACATTAAAATCACTAAGTCTCTCTACTCATGATGCTGTAGTAATACTATGTAATAATCACTCTTGGGCACATTAAATGTCTTATTTTATGTTAATACAGACATTTTCATTAATCCCATCTGTGACATTTTCTTCAAAATTATATAAGAAACACATTACATAGCATATAAACATGATACATATGCCCACAGAATAAAAATTTACATAAATATGAGATTTGTTTATAAAGCGGCTTTGTAGGAGCGTCGGAAGAATTATGTCTTCTCTAGTCAAACACTGGGGGATAACTATAGAAAAATGTTCCTTTCGCATGCCTTCACTCTATATATAGCAATTCACGACCCTTGTGGGTTTTGCGCTTATTTATTACGATGATGATAATAATAATAATAATATCATCATCATTCACTCTAAAAATGGTTGCATGAGAATGGGAGTGCTGCTGTTTGTTTATTCTGTACTAACTTGTACAACTTGTACACAATGTAAGAGTACAGTGGACCCTCAACCAGCGATGGCATCGATTAACGATAAATCTGACTAGTGATACATTTAAACGCAAAAATTTTGCCTCGACTAGCGCTTAAAAACCTGACCAGTGCTATTCGTTCCGTACCATACGCGTCCACTTTGGCCTGAGCGCGCCTCACTTGTCCCTTGGGTGCCAGTGTTTACGAGCCACCCAGCCACCGTGGTCGCTTCCAAACATACAACTGGAACATTTCATATTATCACAGCCTTTGTAGTGATTGCACCTGCAAAATAAAGTCACCATGGGCCCCAAGAAAGCTTCTAGTGCCAACCCTACAGCAAAAAGGGTGAGAATTACTAAGGAGATGAAGAAAGAGATCATTGCTAAGTATGAAAGTGGAGTGCATGTCTCTGAGCTGGTCAGGTTGTAAAATAAATCCCAATCAACCATCGCTACTATTGTGGGCAAGAAAACGGCAATCAAGGAAGCTGTTCTTGCCAAAGGTGCAACAATGTTTTTGAAACTGAGATTGCAAGTGATAGAAGATGTTGAGAGACTGTTATTGGTGTGGATAAACGAGAAACAGATAGCAGGAGACAGCATCTCTCAAGCGATCATATGTGAAAAGGCTAGGAAGTTGCATGACGATTTAATTACAAAAATGCCAGCAACTAGTGATGTGAGTGAATTTAAGGCCAGCAAAGGTTGGTTTGAGAGATTTAAGAAGCGTAGTGGCATTCATAGTGTGGTAAGGCATGGTGAGGCTGCCAGTTCGGACCACAAATCAGCTGAAAAATATGTGTAGGACTTCAAGGAGTACATAGACAGTGAAGGACTGAAACCTGAACAAGTGTTTAATTGTGACGAAACAGGCCTGTTTTGGAAGAAAATGCAAAGCAGGACGTACATTACTCAGGAGGAAAAGGCACTCCCAGGACATAAGCCTATGAAAGACAGGCTTACTCTGTTGATGTGTGCCAATGCTAGTGGTGATTGCAAAGTGAAGCCTTTACTGGTGTATCACTCTGAAACTCCCAGAGTGTTCAGGAAAAACAATGTCCTCAAGGCTAATTTGTGTGTGCTGTGGAGGGCAAACAGTAAGGCATGGGTCACTAGGGGCTTTTTCTATGACTGGTTGCACCATGCATTTGCCCCCAATGTGAAAAATTACCTAACTGAAAAGAAATTAGACCTTAACCCTTTCAGGGTCCAAGGCCAAAATCTGAAGTGGTGCCCCAGTGTCCAAGAATTTTCAAAAAAAAATTTTTTTATTTTTTTCTTATGAAATGGTAGAGAATCTTTTTGTGAATGTAATAAAACAAAAAGTACGAAATTTGATGGGAGACTGACAAAATTATGCTCTCGTGAATTTTGATGTGTCAGCGATATTTACGAATCAGCGATTTTGCCGACTTTGACTCCCATTTTAGGCCAATTACATTATTCCAGTCGACCAAATTCTTAGCTATTTCACAAGGATTACTTCTATTCTATCGATTGAGCACAAGAAATCGCCAAGTCAACTGTTTCAACTACAAAATAAAGTGACCAGAAATTGGTAATTTGGCCAATTTAACACAAAGTTCAAAATATTCCAATTTCAAAATAGGATCCAGAATAAACAATGTAGGTATTCCTGGCACTAAACTAACATTTCCTCTGTTCATTAGTTACGTTCTGAGGCTTTACAAATAAATTCCATTTTGATTTTTTATTCACATAATGAATTTTTATTCACACCAAAAAATAGAAGATTTACTGTTATACAATATTGTAATAATTGTATAAATATCATCACCACATTTATAAATGTATATTAGACCCACCAGCTGGCGTGTATTAGACATGTGAGGTCGTTTGTTTACTCTTGAACATCGGCAAAAATTTAACATTTCCACCACTTTCAGCTCAGTTTCAAGCCATTTCCAGTGCTAAAACCAATCAAAATTATCTCTATTTCTGTAATATGTCTTCCATTCTATCAAATGAGACCAAGAAATCACAAATACAACTATAAAAAACATACGAAAAAACACTGCAAAGTCGCTGTTTTAATCGAAAATCACGGTCTCAGTTTTTTTCCTCTCATTATACACAGTGTGCTGCAGGATTTGTTTTATGTGGTGCACACATACCACATAGATGTATTCTCTCATATCTAGGCCCAAATTTACCTCTCACAGTTTATCAGAGTGAGCTGAGCTCATGACGTAGATCTACGGTTTGGACCCTGAACGTAAAGCCGTAGATCTACGGGACGGACCCTGAAAGGGTTAAGTGCCTCCTGGTAGTAGACAATGCTCCTGGTCATCCTTCAGACTTGGCAGAGCAACTTTCTAGGGACATGAGCTTCATTAAGGTGAAGTTTTTGCCTCCTAATACCACTCCTCTCCTGCAGCCCATGGACCAGCAGGTTATTTCCAACTTCAAGAAACTGTACACAAGGTGCTTTGTAGTGACCTCAGAAACTCAACTAACTCTAAGAGAGTTTTGGAAAGATCATTTTACCATCCTCAATTGTGTAAACATTATAGGTAAGGCTTGGGAGGAAGTGACTAAGAGGACATTGAACTCTGCTTGGAAAAAACTGTGGCCAGAATGTGTAGACAAAAGGGATTTTGAAGGGTTTGAGGCTAACCCTGAGAATCTTATGCCAGTTGAGGAATCCATTGTGGCATTGGGGAAGTCCTTGGAGTTGGAGGTTAGTGGGGAGGATGTGGAAGAGTTGGTGGTGGAGGACAGTGAAGAACTAACCATTGATGAGCTGCTAGATCATCTTGAACAGCAAGAGAGCAGACATGAGGAAACTGCTTCAGAGGAGGGGAGAGAGAAATTGAAGAAGTTGCCTACTTCTAAGATAAAGGAAATGTGTGCAAAGTGGCTTGAAGTGCAAACCATTTTTGATGAAAATCACCCTGACACAGCTACTGCAAGCCGTGTTGGCAACCTGTTCAGTGACAATGTTGTGAACCACTTTAGAAAAGTCATAAAGGAACGAGAGGTACAGGTATCTATGGACAGATATGTTGTGCGACAGAAGTCCAGTGACTCTGAAGCTGGTCCTAGTGGCATTAAAAGAACAAGGGAAGTAACCCCAGAAAAAGACTTGCTGCCTCAAGTGCTAATGGAAGGGGATTCCCCTTCTAAACACTAAGAAGATCAACACTCTCCCCTCCTCCCATCCCATCAATCATCACCAGATCTTCAATAAAGGTAAGTGTCATTGTAACTGTGCATGTAATCTTCAGTTTGTGTGTATTAAAATTAATATTTCATGTGGTAAAATTTTTTTTTTCAATACTTTTGGGTGTCTTGCACGGATTAATTTGATTTCCATTATTTCTTATGGGGAAAATTAACTTGACTAACGATAATTTTGACTAACGATGAGCTCTCAGGAACAGATTAATATCGCTGGTTGAGGGTCCACTGTATTTGTATTGTAAGGTAATTATAATAAAAGAAATATTGTGAGGTAAAAGTTTTACAAACTCTTACAAACATACGTGAATGAATTAAAAGTAGACAAGTATTAATACACATTTATTTCGCCTGACCAAGTGATCGCCCACTACCTGTTCAGTTTGTGTTTTTACATTGTCTGAACTCTGTAACTCGTTCTCTCTCTCGTTTAATCTTTCGTTAACTAGTTGGCTCTCACTGATGATTGCGTCTAAGCTTAGTTGTGATAAAAAAAGGGAGTCATAAGCCTCTTACTTTACTTTAGTCAATAAACACCCTGCCACTCACTTCTCACACCTTAATACTAATATTTAAAGGTGAGTAATAAGTGCACTCTATGTGTATCTTAACTTTCATTGTGTTTTTAATGCATAGTTCTATTGCTAACTTAACGTAAGTTAGTGTAAACTTGTTGTCTGGCATTTATTGCATACAGTGGTACCTCAGGATACAAACAGCTCAAAACTCGAACAATTACACCTACCATCCGACTTACGACTAAGCTTGGTTCCGACCAACCGGTCGTAAGTCAAAATGGACGTACGTAGAACCTTTGAAAATTGCTGACATACTGGGTGGGTCATAATGTTAAACTTTTCCTATATAAACTACCTACATAGTACTGTAATGTAATGTACAATCATTATTTCATTCTTTTTACCATAATTTACTAATATTGTTATATTTTAATTTATGCACTGTATAAACCATACCCCGGCCAGGATTGAACCCGCAGTCAGAGAGTCAAAACTCCAGCCTGTCGCGTTAGCCACTAGACCAGCTAGCCAAAATAAGATTCGTCCAACTAGGTATATTTCTACACCATAGGAAGGTTAGCACAGGCACCACTGTGACCACAAATGCAAGTTTTTACAGACGAATCTCCAGCTAGCGTGGCCGTGACGAACTCTAGTTCAAGTCCCTTCACTGCCGTCAATCGTGTCATTACGATTTCGTGAGT